ATGATCTATATAGTTCCATGTTCTCCTTGCAGCTAAAGCCTTCTGGGTCAACTCTAGCCCTACAGATGGGGTCCATTCTCATCACCTGCAGTGTATGGCATTCTTTGGTTAAGTTTCTGAATAGAAAACATTCATGGAGATCCTGTTTTTATTTAAATTTTTGACATTTTGGAGTTCCTCGGAATTTGGACATTATAATTTAGATTTTTGGAACTAATACACTAAATATTATCTATTTTGACTACTAATGTTTTGAACCCCTTGAATTTTGTACTTGGTCTTCATTTTCTTCACTCTGAAACTCTCCCATCTGTATCCTCACTAGCATTCATTTTCAAATTGGATAGTGCTAACTGATGTCATCAAAAGGATTAAGATAATGAGAGTGGTGTTAGTTACTTCTGGACACAGTGACAGACTCATGTGGGATATCAGCCAGGGTTTGTTATGAGAAAATAAAAGAGTTCACTTTCTCTGGTTAGAACTCTCTGTCGAAAGGTGTGTGTTTTAGGCAGCTTGGATTGCCATAGCAGAATACCATGACAAGGTGGCTTGAACAATAAACATTTATTAAATGTTCTGGAAACTGTGAGACTGAGATCCAGATGTCATTAGAGTGGGATTCTTCTGAGAATTTTCTCCTTGGATTACAGATGACTATCTTCTTCTTGTGTCTCCATATGATCTCCTTCTGTATAAGTGTGTCTGTGTCCTCTTATTTATATAAATATATGTTTTATTATCATTGTAATTTATTAGTTGTACCAATTAATAGACTTCATTGAGCCATTTCCACAGGTGCATTGATCACGTGCACTCTCCCCTTGACCCTCTCTTACCCTCTCCTCTGTCACCCTGTACTGTTCCTGGTCCATAGTGGTCCCTATTCTACTTTTAGGACATTTTTTAAATCCCCCTGGTTTTTGTATTTGAAAGAAAATAGGCTATGTGTGCCTTACCTGTGTCTGACTTATTTCACTTAACTCCATGCCCTTGAGTTCCATCAATTTTCCTATGAATGATGATTGTATTATTTTTTATAGCTAAATAATACTCCTTTGTGTGTGTGTGTGTGTGTGTGTGTGTGTGTATTTTAATTTGTGAATATTTTGAGAGGCATCTAGGCTGATTCCATATTCCCACTGTAAATAGTGCCACAATAAACATGGGCATTCAGGTATCATTTTGTATGCTGACTTTATTTACTTTTGATAAATACCCAGCAGTGGTATACCTTGATAGTATGGTAGTTCCATTTTTAGATTTTTGAAAAACCTCCATATGTTTTCTACAGAGGTTGTACTCATTTACATTCTTACCATCAGTGTAAAAGAGTTCCTTTTATTCTACATCCTCACCAGCATTTGTAATTTTTTAAAATTATTTTTATAATAGCCATTGCAGTTGGGGTAAAATGAAATCTCATTGTCGTTCTGATTTGTATTTTCCCGATGGCTAAAAATGTGGAACATTTTTTCATTTATTTACTGGCCATTTGTATTTCTTCTTTTGAGAAGTATATCAAGGTCACTTTTTCCGATTTTTATTGTGTTTACATATTTATTGGTTGTTGAGTTTATGAGTTTTTTAAAGTATATTCTGCATATTATTTCTCTGTCAAATGAATAGCTGAAAAATATTTTCTCTCACTCTCTAAGTTGTCTCTTCACTCTGTTTATTATACCCTTCACTGTGCAGAGGCTTTTAAATTTGATCCATTCCTCATTGTTGGTGAGCAGGTGGTACTAGTGCCTCCCTTCCCCTAAGAAATTCAGGTCCCTGTGGACCTGGAGTCCATGATGAGGAGGAGCATCCCCCATGCAGAGGGGCTGAAGGTGGGGTCTCTGTCTATCATTCCTTCTGAACACAGGTGATGAGAGGACGTGGGTGCCCCTCTATAGAACTTGCCAATGACATTATCTTGTTAAAACCACATAACACAGAGTGTCCTTGTGCTTAAAAAGTTTCCTTCCAAGAACCTACAGGCTAAGATGCAGGACTAGGGA